CGAACAAGCCGGACATCGGGATCGAACACATTGCGAGAACACGGTTACCCTCCCTAAATGAGGCGCCGCTGTGCCAAGAGTAGTGACTACTGAACCTCATAAAACACGAAAACTTCACAGAACAGTACAGTAAAGGGGGTTGCGTCCCTTTCGAGTACGCCCCAGGATGGAAAATGGACTTGGTCCGCCCTTTGTTCCTGCCCGACAATCGTTTAGGTACAGAATCACGAGGAATACGCGACAGCGACGCGGATTAGAGGGGACGGCGACCAATCCCCATCGACATGACGCGACGACCGAATGGGGAGGACGACATATCGAACAAACATTGTCACAAACTTCACTTCTAAACATCACATTTGAACGAGTCTACACAACACCAGTATCAACACCACACCCAGCTCAGAACAAATCTCTCAAGACACTTCATATACTGCAACATGCACAGCTAGCCTACACCTTGGCACACTATCGCCGCAAAAGACGCCCTTGCGACGTGTCCGGTTGCTAATAGTGTCTATGGTGTCATGAGCAGGCACCGCCTCCAGAAATCAACGAGCATGCCCCGTGCACTTCAAGTACTTCCATCAAAGAACATCTGCAATTCATGCAGCGCACCCAAGCCAAGCAACTATCGCGGAGGGCAGCAAGCGCTACGCAGCCCAGCGATAGAAGTACAGACAAATGGAACGGATATAGGATGGATCCTACGGGTCGCGACCTTCGGTTACATCCATGACAAGACAAAACATCAGCGCAGACGAGTGATTACTGTCAAACAGAAGCAAAGGAAGGCTAGGAATAGCCGGACAAGTCAAAGACACAGAACAAATTTGATAGCTGTAGATACAAACCAGGGAGAGGTCGCCCACCAGGGGGCAGACAGGAGGACGAGACTCGATAGGTGAACGACCTGTTGACGCAGGACATTTCATGGTGGGGTGGAAGTCAGACCTGAGAGCCGGAGGTGGGCGGCATCGATCTTGTATTTTATAGCCGTTCGCTGCATAGCTGCCGGTAAAGGCGGCTGGGACAGTCTATGAATCAATCAAGTAGCCTCTTTCTAGTACTCTGTCCGGGACTTGACTGGTAAATAATGCTGCAAATGCTGCAAATGCTGCAATGCTGTCACGGTCTTACTAGTAAACGGTGATGTAAATGTTGCAGTACTGGTAAGAGACTGCCTCTTCTCAGCATTCTGTCACGGTCCTGACTAGTAAACGGTGATGTAAATGTTGCAGTACTGGTAAGAGAAGGCCTCTTCTCAGCACTCTGTCACGGTCTTGACTAGTAAACGGTGATGTAAATGCGCTGGCACTAGCCAATCGACAGGCGCAGCCTGTTGGGCTGCAGCGGCGACACCGCCAGACTTCCCGTGCTATTCTCGTCTTTACAAGCGCAGCGACAAATACAACGGTAAGAAAGCGTCCTGTGACATTCAACGAATAACCTTGCACGAAAGTGCGGCGTTGTATGAAGCAACCCTAAGCAGGCAGTAAGGCGTGGCGCCTGGTTCATGAGCCTGCTGCCCCGTATCAACAGCACTGATTCGCCAGCGCCAAGGCCAACCCACACCACCCTATCATCTAACCAGTCAGGTACATATGGCTGGTGCGGCTTGACTGAAGCACTCCCATGTGCGTTTAGACAGGATATTGCAACGAGGAGCGAGGTATTTGCCCTCGTTTTCTATAGCAATTCAGAATACGCCTTCATATGTATCACCGGTAAAGCTAGCCCTCGAGATATCGACGATAAACATCGCGCAAGCCGTTCCTGCTACTTCGCTCGCACCATTTGTCGCCTCTTGAATTTCCGCATTGCGACGTTCTAAGTGAGACCCTCAACATGGGTTTTCAACGTGATTTAGACGTTCAAAGATTTTGCCTCCGCATTTCCGGTGATAGCAAATCTTTATCCTGCCGCTTCCCTCACTTGTGACTAGATGGCGACAACGGGCCTTCAAGTGTGCCCCCCGCACTTCTGCTCGTGAAGCATCTCATTTCACCAACACGATCGGCGAGGTTCAGTGAGCCCCGCTTTGCCTCAAAGCCACATGGTGAGGGGAGCATGACAGAGCGTCTAACCAGTTAGCTACCCTTCAAATTAAGCCACGACTAAACCGGTAAGCAGAACAATTACAGTCCATACGACTGTTCCTACGCAAGGTTATTCGGAGGCTACAGAGCAAGGCATAGATGATATGATATTGGCTATATTGCAATTTAACTCAAAATTTTTGATACAAGTACAGAACAAGAAACTGGATCACATCTTAGCGGCGGCCTGCTTTGCGATTTTCTTCTGCTGCCGTCCTCTGTGTGCCTTTTCACGGCGCGCCGCCTGCCTTTGTCTCCTCTTTGCGACTTGGTCCGATGACCTGAGGCTCACTCCATGAACGAGCTCAACATGACCTCGAAAATGGTCCACGTGGTCAAACTTCTCCTGCCTGCATTTCGGATGGCCACACCAGATCGCCTCACCACGTCGCTCGGCTGTCTCCCGGCGGCCCAAATGCTCGTCGTCAAAGTGGTCATTCAGTACCGGCGGACGGCAATACTTAAACTTCCGCGCCTCGACCGGCAGCTGCTCGTCACCAATGCAGTCTGGGCATTGCGTTGTTTCCATAAGCAGTGGGAAATGATCCGGCCTGAAGTCTTGTTCCGACGATGCATCTAGTTCCGACGACACTTGCTTGACAGAAGCCTCGATCCTGGCTGGCCGTTGCGCGCGTCTAGTTTTGCCGGTTTCCTTCTTATCGCATAGAGCCACCATCAAGTCGATAGCCTCAGCTCTATGTTTGAAAAGCTCCTCATCTGTCCAGCCATCAGGCTGCAGGCAAAGAATTTCAGCCAGTCTTGCCTGTTCCGGTATGACAAGGTCAATTGCTGGCTGCTCGTATTCTTCGTCCACCTCGCCGCGGGCTTGCGCCTCAATGTCCCAGGTGGGACGGTTGTAGAAATAGTATTCGCGGTATTCTTTCACAGTCATCCTATCGCGCTGTGTCCGCTTGTTTCTGATCTCGTCCGTGAGTGTTAGGATTCTCTGCTCATGCTGACTATCCTCAATTCGATACCTTCCCTGCTTAAGCTTTCTGCGCTCCTCCTCCAACTCCACAATCTCGGGGTCGGGAGGTTGATTCGCCCATACTTCATCAGGCACCATATCCCGAACGGCACGAGGGTCGCGAGTGAAGCTCACATGTGCAAACATGCGAAAGAGCTGATTTTGCTTCTCCTCCTCCAGGAAGGCATTCTGGAGATCAAAGTTGGCAATCTCGTTCAGATACGCACAGAAAAATGTGGCGAATTGAGGGTCATGCCGCATCATCTGATCGCGGACCGAATCCGGTGCGTCGCCTAGCATAGTTAGCATTAGTGTCGATGATGGTGGCGGCATATGCAATCTCTGGCATACCATTTGCGGCGTTCGCCGCACCTCGCCGGGCAAACCTGGGCGTCCAAGCCTTTTCGTGGCCGGATTCCAGGCTCTGCCGGCCCATATCATAATTCAGCTTAGAGTAGAGCATCGCCTCGTTTTCGGACAACGTTGCACCGTTGATGCGGCGAAAAACAGGGACTTTCAATTTCTCCTTTTTCCAACGGATTGGCATGCAATCTTGAGGACCCCAAACATTCTTCGAGAGCAGACTATTCGCATCGGTTAGGCACGACGCATCGAACGCATGGTCATGTAGGGCCAGCGCGACGATAACCATGACCGCGTCAAAAATAAGCTTCCTAGTAGGCGTGAAGAAAAAGATCGTCCTAACATGTCGCAATTAGTAGCCGGCCAGACGGTAGTGGGGTGGCATATGAGGTAAAACACACGGCTTCGGCTTGTTGTCTGCTCCTTTGTGGTGGATGAATTTAATGGCCATGGCCAGGACAGGCTTTCCTGTAGCGGGGTGCCGCACAAGCATCAAAAGAATGTCCTCATAGCAGAGAGCTTTAGGGCGGCCTCTCTTCGTTGTCTCTCGTAGGAGCATCTTGTTGAGCTCTTTGGAACGCTTGTCTAGCGTCCGGTCCGCGCTGCCGTCACTGTCCGCTTCTTGTATGACTTTCTGGCCAAAGAGTATTTCTCTGGAGCCATCCTTCGGGCCCTTCCTCTCGTTGTCCACCAACTCTGCAGGTCGTGCTCCAGTGTAACACAGGAGCTGATAGCAGCCGGCCAACTGGATGCGATGCCGCCCAAGGCTGAATACGCTCGTGTCGTACGCGATGTTGAACGTCAGAATAACCCGAAGACTGTCGACATTAAGGACTGGCTTGCCGTCTATATTCGGTGCTCGGAGATGGAAGCGAGGTATTAAGACAGTTCGGTGGTACTGGGCTGTGGTCAACATGCATGATTGGGAGCTCCAGCTCAGTGGGTTTCCATACCTTGTAGACTTCCTTCGCATCATTTCTATCCATGTAGCGCCCTGTGACAGTCGTGTAGAGCTGCTGGAACTGGCGAATGTACTCCCCTGAAGAGCCCCACGATCGCACTTTGTAGTTGCCACAGACGAAGAGAAAAAAATCCATCGTAGTGGCGCGGCTCAGGTTAGCAATCGTGGCTCGCCAGTCGCCGACATTCATTTCATTGCAGTAGCTGCACGAGGGTTAGCTGTGGGCTCCAAGATAGGCTTGTATGCGATCTGGCGTACCGTTTCCACCTTCCCAAGATGCCGGAGACGTTGATCTCCGTTTCGGCAGAGTAATTCGGCAGCACGAATTGAACAGTGCTGAGACACTCCCGATTCGCGGCATGCTGCTCGGCCGAGAGCGGCGCAGGCTTTGCTGCTTTTTCAAGCTGCTTGGCTTTTTGAAACTGGAGGAAGTCCAGGTGGTGGTTGTCTGGAGCGTTTGCATGTCGTGTGCGGGCGACGGCGCTTGGCATCGTGGATGGATCGTGTCTGTTGATCTGGTGCGGAGGTGGCCAGGGTCGGGGGGGCCACAACGGACTTGGAATGATGGATGAAAGGAGACAGAAGGGTCGACGAGGCCGCCGCCGCTCTATATACTGTAGTGCCGGCCATTCTGGTGGTAACAGCCGCCGAAGTACGTGAGCAGCGAAAATAGCACACGGCCAACGAGCAACAGGAAACGGGAAGCAGGCGGGTGTGGTCGGTGGAGGTGCCAGTGGGTTGTGTAGCCAATGCCGCCAGAAGTACACGGTACCTGGCAGGGGTGCGCCCGGAGCGTGAGTCCCCCACTGCTTTTGCCGCTAAAAACGGCGGCAGAACCCGCCAGATTTGGTGGCTCCAGCAGCGCATCTTGCATTTAAAGA